GTGGGGACCGCGGAGTAGCGGCGAGGGTGCGAGGGAGCAGGCGGTCCCGGGAGGGGAGGGACGCGCGGGATGACGGAGGGAGGCTGGGCTGGCGCGGGGAGAGGCCGCTTGGGGCGGGTGTGTTGTGATGGAGGGAAATGGGAGGCCGCGGGGGCAGGGGATAAGCAAGTTGAGCACCAGGGGGTAGGCCCCGGACTGCCTGGCCAGGTCAGGCCCCCCTTCCTTTGCGGGCGGGAGTCTGGTTGAGGAGGGGGCTGTGTATGTTTATAGCTAATTAACCTGCACCGTACTGGGAATCAGTGTGTGCCAACAGACAGCCTGCATCCAGTCCAGCTGGGAAATGAGGTGAGGCCTTGCAAAAAGGATTTTAAGATAATTTAAGTTCATACAATGCAATATTTTTTTTTCCTGTATTGTACATTTTAAAGTAAAGGCAGGAACGAGTTGAAGACAGGGCAGGAGTAAGACAGATGAGCAGTAAAAAAAGGCTGCCTGGTGTTCTTTTACCCGTGAGTCACCAATTTGACTGCGAGCATCCTAAAACCAGTAGAAAAGGGGAAGCGTCCATTAGGATCCAGCGCGCTTGTCCCCTAAGAGAAGCATAATTATTCCTGACACGGGCGAGATTTCTCCCACAGGGCCTCATTTTTTTCCAAAGGCAATATGTAAATAAGTGTTGGGGACAGGACACTATGGACATCACTCAAAGGGACACCGGAGTTTCATCCCCAAGTAAAGAGCAGTTTCCTCAACAACTGAGAAGCGCAGCCAAGGTTTTCCCTGCGTGGCTTCCTGTTCTGGCCTTGGCTGTAAGTGGATGGCATACTACAGTGAAAGCAGTCCGGTACACCACTCCCAAGTCTTACTGAATCCAAGGGCAGATTTTTCCAGTGCCCTGACCCTTTATTCATCTGCTTTAAAATAGCAGTATCCCACTTTCAAAACCTCAGACTTCTGGTCAGGTGACCTAGGAAATTCTTCCACTGTACATAGCAAGGCGAGACTTCAAAAGAGAAAGACTCCAAGAGGAAATAACTGGGCTCAAAGAGCAAGGTGAGCATCATGGTGGACCAGAAAATTCTGTATTTAAATGCCTTTTTAAAGTCCTATAAATAATTCTTTATAATTATATGATGTAGCTTAGAAACTTATTTTAATTTCATTTTCTTTTTATAAACTTTGATTATTTTCCTACAATTATTTCTTTTGGAAGTTTTACACTTATCAAAAGGACTCAGAGCTCTACACCAGAGTTGCCTATGATTAATACAGATAATAATAAAGGCAAGATGTGAATTTTGACCCAAGAATTAAAAAACGCTTTTACATAAAACCTTAGGAGCTTATATGTAATATGTCATTATTTCTTAATTATATGAAATGCCAAGATAATATCTATCTCCCTGATCTCCTAGCAGTAAAAAATCAACATTGACTGGCAATAGGTCAAGATAATGCCAACTGGAAGAACTCCTTGAATGTATTTGTTATAAATCTTGGTATAATAATATGTGACATTAACTTGGTAAAAAATTGTTACATATATTTTAAAAGAAGAGCTAAGTTTTAAGATAGGATTGAATCTAGTTAAAATGTATTTGCTAACTGTAAACTGTGCATTCTAATATTATTGGAAAGTAAATAATAGGGCAGAACCGGTTAGTTTGGTGAGAGAGCACAGGTGTATGAATCTTTTCACTATATTTCAAGTGACAGTAGAGGGACTCTGATGAAATGAAACTTACACAGAATATTGTAGACTGAGAAGGCTGATTTCAAAATGGAATGGCGAGCTGGACCTTCCTCCTGCCTCCTCCAGGAAGTCAGTATCTGGAGGGAGCAGGGGACTATGTGCTAAATTCTGCCATCTTCTAAGAGCTTAAAACTATTAGCTTTTAGAATACCAGTACCCTTAAGTTGAAAGCAAAATGAAATAGTGGAACCAAACCCTCCGTCACCTGAGTATGTAGAGCCAGGCTGAATGAGAGATTAGGAGTTACTCCACAGCCTTACTGGGATACTGAGAGCCAAAGGAACTGTACAGAACATCTTGATCTCTATCTCGTAGCTTTAGTGCTCATATTAATACCACATTGTTTTGGAACAATCATATTGTCAAATCTGGTAAAATGGAATTTTATTTTGTTAAAATAGAGTATAGAAATTAAAACCTTTGTGGGAATCTGTAGAAACCCATCAGATTGACAAAGATTCCCATCTTAATCACTAGGATTGTAGTTCAAAAATCTAACCCTCATGGCTCAAAAATCTAACCATTTCCAGTTTTCATCCCTTCTATCTTTTCTGCAGCACTTGCTTTTCTGGCCAAATGAGACATGGCTACAGACACAATGAAAGTACTAACACACCAAACATGGGACAGTGAGACAACCCAGAGAATAGAAATAGCAGGAAGCTGCTACCCATCCCTAAGGAGGTGGAAAGACCTGAGCACCGAGGAGCCAGGGTCACCTGGTGGAAGCTGGAAGTTCACAGATGGTCTCCAACTCCCCCCCTTCCCCCTCCCCAAGCTCTGAAATTCTGGGATCCCAATACATTGACAACACGATTCACTTGACAGTGACTTGATCTGCAGTAATATATTCACCTTCCTATCCCTGGCATTTAGCACTGTGCCAGCACATAGGAGGTGCTCAATAAAAGTTTTGGAAACTGGCTGTTACATCCATTTGTAAAGTGAGGTAATACTGTTATCTCTTTTACTCAGCCGCTAGAGAAGTGCTCACAGAATTTTCTTCATTGGGAGCAAATTTATCTTCATCCATTAGAGAAGAGTGGTCCTTTACATCCCAGGCAGAATCTGTTCCCAGTTGGGGGAGGGGAGTCACCATCTGTCCATCTGTGAGCAGTTTCCTGCCCATCAGACAGGGCCTGCTGTTTGGGGCCTTAGTACCAATAAACCAACTACTCATGCACTCAGCAGCCTCAAAAGTCTAAATCACCTCAATGAAGGTGAAGTGAGCTGTAAACAGGTGAACCCTGCTTGCTCTAAGTACATTGCTGTCTTCCTACTGATCCTGTTCAATTACCTGAACTAAGGTCTCACTTTTAAAAGGCCAGTTATGGAGATCAAATAAATGAATGTGGAAATTGACTACAACCTTTACAACCAAAGTGAGATAAAAACATTAGCAGCTGCGCACACCCCAACTCCCACCCGGCCTCTGCAGCAGCCCAGGGTGGAGCCTGTGAGCTGCAGTTTCCATAGTGAAGCAAGAGGTCACAGTATGGAGTCAGGCATTCTGGGTTCCAATATTCCCCGGCCCCAGACTCCACACATATGCACACACGAATGCATTTAGTGACCGTGGGCAGGTGCCTCTGTTTCCACAGCTTGGGAATCAGAGCATCCACAAGGTGCCAGTGGAGGGTGAGCATATATCGTTGATTATACCCAATTAGAATTGCGCCAAGGTGATTTCATGGTTGTGCAAACGTCATAGTGTGCACTTAACACACTTTATGGTACAGCCCATTGCTCCCAGGCCTGTACAGCATGTCACTGTATAAAACAACACGAGATTAAACCAAGCACAAGAGAAAATGATGCAATCGAGATGCAGCAAACATGAGATTTATGAGGCTGCTACCGGCAAAACATGGCTTACTGTTTATAGCAAACATTTTTCTTTGTAAGTAGAAAGAACACTAAAATAAAAAGTATAGCATAGTAAATACATGAACCAGTAACATAGTCAATATCATTATGAAGTAGTATGTTCCATACATAATTGCATGTGCTATACTTTTATACGACTGGCAACTCAGTAGGTGTGTGTACACCAGCATCACCACAAACACCTGAGTATATATTATGACTGCTGCAATGTTATGACAGCTAACATCACTAGACTATAGGAATTTTTCAGCTCCATTGTAATTTTATGGGACCACCATCACATATGTGCTCCGTTGTGGACCAAAACATCATTATGCATGACTGGTGCCTGTTCTGATCCAGAAACAGCCACCTGTACAACGTCAACAGGAAGAGAAGGGTAAGGCAATTTCACCCTCACAAGAACTCTAGGGAGTGGATACTATTTCCTCCTTTTAACAGCACAGGAAACTCAGACTCTCAGGTCCACACAAAGCAGGGCTCCTTTCCAGTAGATCCCACAATGCCTTTCTCAGGCACAGAAAAGCATGTCTGCCTACAAATATTCTTCAACTGGTCAGTCATGGTGCCTGAAGTCTATGCCACCTGAAATACAACTTCAGGTTATGTCACCTCCCAATGAAATGAGATTTAAACTGAAATCAGTGTCAAGTCCTGGGCTGCTGCTTTGAATGGTGTCTATCACATTAACTAGAAAATTCAGAGTAGGACCATGCCATGTAGGACAGAGGGCAAAAATATTCAGTTGTATATGAACTGCAGCCCCATAAGTTGCTGAGTGGAATCCTGGACAGAGCATATTTGGAACAAAGACCACAGGGACAAGCAGAGGGTAAGGATTGTTAGGCAGAGTGCCCTGGCAGTGGGTGTAACCAAAGCACACAGGAAGATAGCTATGGAAAAACAGACTCCACCTACGAGTTACAAACACTGCAGTAACGCCGAGCACAGAGGCCTTCTCTCCTTGTGGCCAAAAGTTCCATGAAAAGGGGCAGATGAGTTGTAGGACAACTTAATTTTCTCTTCCCCTTCCACCAACCTGAACATTTTCTCTTTGGAACTGTCACTTCCATGCTTATGAAAAGCCAATTACTGCTTAAGGAAAACAAAAAGTCATACCTATTACAAAACCTTTGCTACTGGAAATTTCATGGGTCTGGCAAGAAGCCTGGTGGAAAGAAGTAGTGGGAGCACCGAGGCATTCTGTGCAGCCCCGTCCACAGCTTTGCCTCCCCACGGCCCACAGCTTTGCTTCCCCGCTGCTGTCACTGAACGTGTTTCCCCGGAGGCACCAGGGCTGAGAATCCAGAAAGGGGTCCCACGAAGCGGTGGTGCCCCTGTTGATGTCCCTCGCTTTGCAGGTCAAACCGTGACTTTTAAAATGTTTATGCAAACCCCACTTCTTAGCCCCAAAAGCATTGCAGGCAGCTTATTGTAACAGTAAACCCGGTGAAATACGAAAAGAAATGAAGCAGCAACTCAGTAACCGCAGGCCTAAGCGCGTCGCGTGTGTGAGACGGTCAGGCCTAGGGGGAGAGCCCCTCCCGGGGAGCCGGGAGCGCAGCGCCGCGCCGACCCGCCGCCCGGGAGGGTCCAGCCCCGCTCGGACACCTCGAACCCGGGAAAACAAGGCCAGACGCGCGGGCCGCGACTGCTACTCCTCTCTATAAATGTCTCCCCAGGAGGGCAAAGCAGCGGGATCAAAGAAGAGCCGGGGAGAGTCGGGCCTTTCCCAGGAGCCCCGCCGGGCGGCGCGCCCGCGCCCGCG